AACTAGATAATACAGAAATGAGATACAGAATACTATAATAGGTTTAGATTACAAATAAAATAGTTTGAGTCTTGTATTCGAAAATTAGTTTAGTAGTAGGTAGAGTTTCAATCCATAAACCATTTATCCATTTATCCATCAGATATCTGATATCTAATAATAATTGGATAAGATGAATTAAATGGATGGATATCTGAATAATCTGATAAATTATCTAAATCATTTGCTGTTTTTAATTAGAATCAATGCCGAGGCAACCATTTTATTGATTGAATATTGATAATCAGATGACTTTATGAATCACATATCAATTTGTTGTTTATAAAGTCTTATGGTGTCTTGTTAGATAAAAGTATTTTCTGGTTAATATAATTGTTGAAATGTGAATTACATGAGAACAGGTAAGAAAAGTAAGAGTAAGGGTAATCATATGATTCTGAATATGCAACTAGTAATGTATTTAAGAAGCTTTTGATTAGTAGAGAAGGTTATCTTCTTTTCATTAGAAGTAAAGGCTTGCTCTATCATTTCTATACCATTTTATTAGAAAATCTCAACATTTTTCTGTTGCACCTTAAAAATAAGAAAAGTCATTTGCTAATAATGCATGACAATAGCTGAGCAAGCAGTTATTTCTTATAAGTTATATATTAGTTTGATGAAATCAATCTTGGGCGGTCAGAATAACTTAGCGTAACATATAGCTTGAAAGGCAAGCAATTAACATTGTGTTAATTGCTAAGTGTTCAAGAGAAAATTAGGCTTTCTAGAAAGGGAAGACAATCACAAGTATTGGTTAGATATCATTACGAACGTGTGAATTTTATAAAGTAAAGGCTAAGAGTAGTAGTGCAATGGCACCTTAAGGAATTATTGGTATTGATAAGCCTTACAGTTGCATTAGCAGTGTGATAACCTTATGCTGGTGAAAATTAGGCCCCGGAGAAGCAGTAGTATTACAGAAACCTATGTAAGAATTTGGGCTCTAAGTTATGGCTACTGTAGCAATGCAAGTACTTTATGTTAGTAAAAATTAGATTTCATGCTGTAGTAACAGTGCAAGAACCTTATACGAGAGTTTAGGTTTCTTGACTGCAGTAGCAATGTAAAATCCTTATATTAGTAAGAAAATGAAATTTGAGCTGCAGAAGTAGTATACTCTTTTTTTGTAATTGGCTTTGCAGTTATAGTAGCAGTAGCAATATAATGACATTATGTAATAAGAAATTAAGTTTTATGGCCAAGGACCTTTTGTTAATGAGAATTAGGTTCTGCAACTGCAGTAGCAGTGCAAAGACCTTATATTAATAAGAATTAGGCTCTGCGGTTGCAGCAGCAGTGCAAGAACCTTGTGTTAGTGAGAATTAGGTTCTGCGGCTGCAATAGCAGTACAAGGACCATTAATAATGTTAGGCTCTGTGGCTGCAATAGCAGTGCAATGACTATTTGGGCTCTGCAGCTGTAATAACAGTGCAAGGACCCTATATAGTATATGTAGGTTCTGCAGCTACAGTAGTAATGCAGAGACCTTTATAGTATCAGTTGGTTCTTTGACTGCAAGTACAGTGCAAGAGCTATTAAGAGGTGATTGGGATCTAGTAATTACCATAGCAGTATAGCCTTCTTTTTAAGATAAGTATACAACTGATACTCTTTTAGCTATGTTGTTGTCTTGAAGCCTTCCTCACACAGGATATTAGTGTTGGTAGATATGGTTCTCGAGTCACTTTATTGGAGTTTCGGCTAGGGTGTAGGATAACCAATGTTTGTTTGGGCTAGTAAATGTGGTTTTGTATGCTGTGGAGTGAGTTATAATTGGTCAGTTAGGCTATTAATGTCTTATAAAAAGGCAATACCTTAGACTATAGAATATAAAAATAGCGAACAGATTCTCATATATTCTTCAATAAAGTCATTTGATCGAACAATAATAATGAATATACAATTTTAGTGATGTAATATTTGGTTTAAGTTATTATGTTTTATTGTTTAAATGAGTTGTTTTGCTTGCAAAAATATGACGCACTTTATTTTGTGAATTCAATATAGTAAATATTCTCGAAATCAAAGTGAAACTAAAATGAAGGTCACGAAACGAAAGTTATAAAGAAAGTCAAAACGGAAATCAAATTGAAAATCAAAACGAAAGTCAAAATGAAAGTTGAAACGAAAATCAAAGTGAAAATCAAAGTGAAAATCAAAGGGAAGTCAAAGTGAAAGTCAAAGTCAAAGTAAAAATCAAAGTAAAAATAAAGTGAAAGTCAAAGTGAAAGTCAAAGTCAAAGTCAAGTTGTTTTTAATTAAGACCCTAGCATCATCACCTTAAAAAATTCTACTAAACAAAATTTTGCTGTGAGTTAGAGTTAGGTTTTGCTATTAACACAGGCTAGAAAGTTTTTTTAAAGTTAAAACTCTACAAGGAAATCTTTTTGTTAGTGCGCAAAAGGCAATTTCATAGATAAAATGTTGAATTATAAAAGATTTTTTAAGTTGTTTTATTTTTTGTTTTTTCTGCATAACATCTGATTTTTGAAATCGGTTTGGCCTGTGAAATTTTTTAGAGTAGTAATACTAGAATGATTCTCTCTAATACTCCGGATGATTTGGTTAATCCGTTTCGGATATCCAATATAAATAGATAGATATTTGATTATGTCAATGCAGATAAATGGATAATGGATTTATCCAGATTGAAACTCTAGTAGTAGGTATATAAATAAGTAACAAGATTGTATAATAATGTACAAACTTAAGAATTATTAAAGTTACAAGAGGCATAACCTCATCTTAATACTGAAAAAAATAAAATAAATAAACAATTTAATAAATAAAAATTTTTTTTTTTTAGACTTTAAAATAAAAGTTAAAGCTTATATTAGGATTAGACTTTAGTAAAGTTTATAGTAAAATTTCACAAGAAATTGTTTTACTTAGAGCCTCAAAAGTGGTTTTATAAGCAAAATTTTAAAATAATTTACTACAAATGATCATCACCTATAGTATGAATTAACAATTTTTTAAGAAAAATATTAATAAAAATACATCTATATTATAATATTATAGCTATTTATAAAATTGAATACTAATATATTTAAGCCAGATAGAGTAATAATATGATCTTTTAAGAGATAATTACAAACATAACTATAAGAGTCAAACATGAAATTAAACTACAGATCCGTAGGTCAATAGTGCAGTGATTAATGCCTCAGGTCACAATCGCAAGGTCATATGAGTTTGAGTTCTACTGAGTGATGAATGCTCTGCCAGAACTAAAACTGGATATAATCTCTAGAGGATTTTCATTAAAAAGAAAAGATCAAGATTCAAGCAAGATTTGTATAAGTTGCAGTTTGTCAGCATAGCCATAAAGCCAGGGATAACCAGATAAGACACAATTTGTTAACAAATAATATTAACATTGAAAAAAACCTAATACTAGAACCAAGATATTAAGATATAAAAAGAACAATCTGACTTGTAAATCATGTAAAGTTAGAGAACTGCAGATCTAAATGTAGGTCCTACACCATGACACCAGGAACCTGGGATGTCAAATGATATACTTAATGAAGTATAAGTTATCTCACCAAGTACGGTGACTAAAAAAAAGCACTATACATACTTGATTTCTGCAGAAATGAAAACTCTGACTTTGAAAGATATAAAAGATCTGAAGGTGTCTAAGGACTTTCGAGATGTGAAGAAAGATAAAAAAAAAAAAAAAAAAAATTAAACTACTACAAAAACTTTTTAACAAAAAAATTCTTTTCAAATTAGAGAAAACCAACAATATTTTAAAATATATTAATCATTATATATAAATATGTATATTATTTTTTTAAAAAAACAGAATAACACCTTTAAAGATTAAAAAAAAAAAAAAAAAAAACAGAATAAAGTATGCTTAGATGTGCTTTTCAAAAAAAAAAAAAATCACATTAAAATAAAAATCAAATTTTTTTATTTTTAAAGAAAGTTTATAATATTTTTTTAAAACAAATAAACTATATTAAATTTTTTTAATATAATAGATAAAATATACTATAGTAATCAAAAAAATTTTTATGAAACATAACGATAATATTTGTTAAAACAAAAAACAAAGCTATAACTAATTAACTATTTATATTATTTGTGTATATACAGTATATACACAAGACAAAAACAGAAATTGTTTTAAAGCAACAATAACAGATAAATAGTTACATCACTTGAACGATACAAACAACGTCTGGACGTGTAACCGATGACGAAAATTATCATCGTTAAACTATTACATTAATTAAGAGTTAAAATTAATATATATTTTAAAAATATAAAATATATAAAAATTTTAACTATCGAATATCCAAAGATATACATATATTTGATACGTACCTTTTTTTTTATTGATTAAAGAGTATATGATCTACAAATAGCATATACTGACCAACAGTCCGTCAATATAACTGCATAAATCGTAATACAAAGATCGTAATTATGAATTGCACATGTCTAGGCTGTGTGTGATAACTATAGTTTCCTAATTTGAAGGATAAATCATGAAGGCAAATGTTTGGTAACTTGTTCAGGCCCTGCTCAGGCGTAATTTATCAATTCAGTAAATTCCACCCTAAAAAAGATTCACACTCGGAATCTATCACTTGTTTAAAATATTTAATATTTAATACAAGCCCTTTTGTAAAAAGAAAAAAGTAAACACAACTTATAACTACCAAAAAATTTTTTTAAAGACATAATGACGGTTGTTAGTTTTATCTTGGGACTTTTCCGCAAGACATTTAATATTATTGCTCTTTTGACACTCGCCATAAACCGATGGCTAGCGTTTATTGCGCACTTGATTATGATGTATTAATTGATTTTTTTTATTTTTTCAAAAGTTTATTTAAACATATAATTCTTTACTAAATTATAAATTGAATTTTTTTTTTTTTTTTAGGTTCTTTATATGGAATTCTCTTTTGATAGTTATCGGATGTGTCAACACGATTCAAATGACGATTGGATTCGGATTTGACGTTTTGAAAATAACTTCAGGACGAACTAGTTTGACGCAATCCACAGGTGGAGAAAAACGCAGCGCACTTAACGAATATTGGTATAATCGACGGAAAGGTTACCAAGAAATGGTGGATAAGTTGTATGTGAAGTATATGGAACGCTTGCATGATGTTCAGCAGCAACAATATTGGCAATGGCAACAACAACAAACTTATTACTATCCACAAGGAAATATAAGTGAATATGATGAAAACGCTATAGCCGCTAATTACGGCCCATATGATATGAATACTACTCAAATCCAGTAGATTAAGATCTCAAATTATCAAATTATTTCTTTTTATAAATATATCTTAGTCATATATATATACACATATATATATTATATATATACATATATACAATAATTGTATTGGTTGGATATCAATATAGATCATTATTGTTAATAATTATAAAATAACTGTTTTCATTTTTTTTAATAAAAGATAGGAAACATCTACAAATGCAGTAACATGAAAAAAGTAGAAGTTTGTATACAGGTTTATACACAGGTTTAGAGAAAGATTCAAAATATACTAGAGCTTTTGAAGGGTACAAGATAGAATCTTCCCAGTTTTGACAATATTACATTATGATTTTTTTTTTAAATAAAGCATTTTTATCAATATAAATTTTTTATATTCGTGTATTTAACAGTAATTTTTCCTAGTTCTGAAATTCTTTATTTTTTTTTTTTTGGTATTAAGGTTAGGCCTTGCTCATATCTTTATTAGTAATTTTAAAAATAGTAACTACATAAAATATAGAAATACTACTATTTGTACAAGTACAAATAAAAACAAAAATTACATGCAAGAATAGAAGCTCAGACATATTTATCTGCGACCTAAACCCGCTGAAATTCTTTATAAAAGGTTTAAATATAGTTAAATTATATAATCTTGAAAACTACTAAAATTAAACAATTTGAGAGATTTACAACTTAACTGAAAGAATTCGACAACTAGATTGTAAGAATATTATATAACGATAGCAAAAAATTTATAAGTCTAATTAAAATTAATGAGTATCCATATACCATTTTTCATAGTAAAGAAGATTGGAACTAAAGAAGACTAAACGAAAATTGAATTCCAAATATATTCGAATTTTCGTGTCTTTTATTTTGTATCATTACTTAGTGGAGGACAATTATTGACAAAGGAAGGTTAAAGGATTAGGGTTCGCGTTAAAGATTGAATAGAGAGTATATGTTATTTAGAAAATCCATGACAAAATTTGAATTTTCCCACTTATACCAATTTTTATAACATTCTATTCGTTTCTGCTAGAAAAAACTGGACTATAGCAATAACACCAATAACACCAATAATACGAATATTTATTATTAAAAAATTCACCAATTTTACTTTGCATTATAGTCATATTAAATTAAAATCGACTCGTCTTAGCGAAATCTGATCGATAGATCTTAACAATATAACCCGTAATTTCATAACAAAGATATCTGGTGATCAGGATCAGAATAATACTCTTATTTTTCTGTAGTGGTATGCCTGCCTGTCATGTTGGAAATACACATCACTCTTGATATAATGGACTCTTGATATAACAGAGAAGTAATTCTGCTTGATGGATAACAATAAAAATTTGGATATAATTTGGATATAAATTTTATTTATTTTTCTTATTAAAATAGATCATATTAAGCAGTTATACGTATAGGCTTTATATCATAATAACACTGTACCCACAAAAACGACATATAAACCTACCACAAAGTCTTCGGAAAATTTTGGTGGCATTTTTTTTTTAAAAAAAAAAAAATAGGGATTGCATTTGGTGGTTTTGGTGGTTTTGCTGACTTGTCCTTATTTTTATTTTGCGTTGCGGTCAGTACTTTCCTTAACTTACCTTTTCTCTTTAAAAATTCTATAACGACATCGATATATTTTATCTAACCAATCATGCTAATATTATCGATATAAAAAAAATTTTGCCGATCATTATCTATACGTATTCACCTATTCATTATCTATTCATTACGTATAAAAATACATATATGTTTGCATCTATTTGTGTTTACTACGTACGTATTGCCTTGGGTATTAAATCGTTGGTTCATTATTTTTCTTTATTTGAAGTTATACGTATACTTGTTTATGCTATATATTTATTTATTAAAATGCGGTTGAGAAAATAATACCGTAAATGGTTTTATAGATCCCATTTGATAATATACCCACTATGAATTAAACCTAATGTATCTTTATTAAATAAATGAGGATTTTTCAGAAACCTAAAAACCTAAAGACAGCTTATTGTAAATGCAAAGTGTGTGTATGCACTTCAAAATTTTCCTTGTTACTATATAAACATACTATCCCTGAGTCTTTAAAGTCACCGTATACGTACAAGTTGGGATTGGAACCGCCTAAAATTTTTCTTAATCGTTTAATCGTTTAACCGTTTAACCGTTTAATTTGGCCGGCATTAA